CAAATAATGCCTACATTCGGTTCGACCTTGTAGTCAACAAAAAGGGTCTACTTTGGGATGTCTGGAGCCCCCATGGCTATGAAGTGCTCCCCATGATGGCAGTGTAGTGTGGCACTGGCGAATATGACAGAAAAGGGAAATGGGGCTTGTTATGTTTCCTTAGTCTACTCCGAATTCGAAGAGGCCATAGGGTAGACTCTAGTAGAGTCACGGGATTAGGCTCCAGGTGTTTGCCGCGTGACTGTAAGATTTCGATGCTACCTCTGACTGTTGTAGCTGTCACATGACGAATTGTTTCACATCGGGCGCGAAAGTCCACAGAGCATGTGTGAAGTTAACCACTACTGACCGTGTGCTTGAGGGGTGCTCAAGCGAGGGCGGGAGGTATGCCTGTGACATCCAGCGCCGCTTCAAGTTCTGATGCCCTGAAGCCAACGCCCTAAGTTTAAGCCCGAATGAAACATAAAAAGCTCTGGCTCACCAATGGTGGTTTTTCTATAAACAGAATCCCTCAGATATACCCACACATGTCTTAACAGTCTTGACAGGAATCCCCGAGAAGGGGGTCCCCATCCTAAATCCCTGAACCATGCATTCGCCTTTGTAAGTATGGAAAGGTCTGAGCCCTGAGCGCGGCCGGCAACTGGGAAGGGAGTTCCTCTCCCTGGCATGCATGCACGTTTGCCCGATGGAGGTTGGGGAAGGAAAGCAAAAGGATGGGGGCACTGAGTCGCCATTTGTTGCTGTCTGATTTTGCGAGTTCGCCCTTCTGGAGGTAGACCGGCCCTGAGAATTAAAAAAGGGCGTAGGTGATCTTGGGATAATATGGGGAAATACAGGTTATGTAGGAGGGTTATATAGGGGCTATATACGGAGAAACCATTTTGGGTTTAGGAAATGTAAAGTTGACTAGTTTGCGTAGCCGTGGCATGTAGACTCGGGATGTCTTTCAGCATCACTGATCGTCTTGTGAAGTAGCAGCCGTACCATGTTGTCATTTCGGCATGACAACAAGCCCAACAATCTTGCACAAAGTATGCCGTGCGTTCATGGAGATGTCCGAATATGCGGTCCCTCAGGGCCCTTGCAACAAACATGTTTGGAGTGAGACATGACAAACTCGGGTGCTGCGCAGAACAATCCTACAAAATCCTCAAAAAAGGAGGCCTGTGATCAGTTATAATCACTTCTATCGGCCTTCTTCGCAACCCCGAATCCGAAACCCAAACCCAATTGTGAACAAACCCCTGCCGTGCATGGAGGAAATCGTGCACCATGATGTACATGTACCGCAGGATCTGCCTCCACCCGAAACTCTTAAGGGTTCAGGGATTCCTATTTAGGTTCCGGGTTTAAGGTTTAGGGCTTGGCGTTTAGGGGCTACACCCTAAGCCTTGGATACAGGCCCCTAGCCAATAACAGTCATAAACCCGACCCTGATTCAGGGTATATGACTTGACTATTCTTGCGATAGCAGTTCTGGTCTGCGGGCCCAGTATCCAACCTAACCCTTCTATCCCTAATCCCTGAACCCTAAAAGCTCCCAACCCTTACACCTAGATCCCAAATCCTAAACCTGAAATCTTATATGAATTTAGGCTTCAAACCCTACTAAACACGACAGCATGTGGCCTGTCTTCTGAGGGCCGCCAAGTGGATGGCGCAAGCGAACTCTTCGAAGCAAAGCTCCCCATCCTCCCAGGGACTGGGAAAATTGCAAAAGTTCCTTTCTCTTAGTAGGGAATACGGGAATAATATATTATTTGAAATATGAAGATTATGTAAAGATATGTAGAGATTATACTGCCATATTCCTTACTGCGAACCAGTAAGATACAGGAAAGGCAGGGTCTCCCCCTATGTGCGGGCTTCCACAAACTAGTGGTGGCCCCATATACTGGTAGTAGACTTTTGAGGATGTGGGGTGTAAACTTCCCACCACATGGTCGTAGACTGACATAGCGGCATGCTGGCTACTTCAAAGACAAAGTAGCCGCATGAAAAGCCCTTCATTGGGGACTAGTTGGGCAAGTCCTCTACAAGTCCCTATGGCGGTCACCGTGAGCATCCCCTCAAGTCTCAGAATTGCAGGGGCACGCCCTGTCTCCATTACGCTACCCAAACCTTGAACCCTAAACCCCAAACCCTAAATCCTAAACCCTAGACCCTAAACCCCATGCGCTACCCAAGCAGGGAAGCTCAGACCGGCTTAGGCATCACTGAAAGCCATTTTTCCACGTTGCCGATTGAGGATTGATGTATGCAGGCCATGTGTAGTGTAGCCCACCACTCTGAATTCGCACTAAACCATGTGGAGCAAGAGGAGATAGGCCAGTGATCATTCATATCATATTCTTATTAAATTATGCTGGATAGTATTGCTGTTGAGACCACTGGCGAGCAGCTCCTGTCTCTGAAAAGGTATTTGTCTAGCCGTCGCTTGGAACTTTGTGTTTGGCTGAACCCCAAACCCTATAGGGACCCCTAGGAGTCGAGTCCTGGTCGACATCGCTAAGCTGCCAGATCAACTCCAGCTCTTGGGCTGGAAGCTTGGACCGCTGCAAGACCTGCCAATTCCGAGGATTTAAGGGTTTAGAGTTTTTAGGTGTTTTTGAGTTTTTAGGGTTTAGGGTGCTAAGGGTTTAGGTTTTTCAGGGTTTAGGGTTTAAGGCGTTTGGCGGAGCGAGATAGCTGGGATGGTGCCTGGAAAAGGGTCCCTACATTCTTGTGTACTATATGTGTGGGGGACTGACGCGTTATGTAGACTTTCAAGTTCCTATTTGAAGCGCGAAGTAGCGGAGGTAGTCTTGGCAAACCTCCACGTCAGTGGCTTCTGACATGCCACATGTCGGCTGAGCCGCGGTGTGCGATTACTTGACCACACTCCATATATCCAAACTCTCGAGCTAAACACTAAGCCCAATAAACCCAGAGCCTTCAACAACGTACACCCCAAGACCCATAAACCCACTAGTTCCCGCTAAGTAGATCGAACATAGCTTTGCGTATATTATAATAAGATCCCCATATACTCCATATTCTATCTACTTAAGGGTGACTAAAACCTTAAACCTTGAACCCTAAACCCCATATTCTATCTGCTTGAGGCGGACTTTAAACCCAAAGAATCCCTTATCCCCTGCTGGCGGCTGACCTCCTCCGCCTCGATTGCAGTGAGTGAGTCCGCATGTCGACGCTCGACCCCGTCGAATATCTGTCGATACCTCTATTTAGGTATAGTATATTGGCGTTATATAGGGTTTATATAGGGATAATGGAAAGGAAAATGGAAACTACTACTTAGGTATAGTATAGAATATCTGTCGAAACCTCTGTTTCAGCTTGCTGGGGCCTGAGAGAGGAGTCTGGTGAGTGGATCTACAAATCATTCAGGATTACCACTACTATGATTACCATGATCACTGCTATTCTTATTTCTATCATTGCTAATGTCATTACGTATAGGCGGAATCTACTGGGACCCCTTTCGAGATTCACCCTGGCAGTCCAGCTAAAACAATTCATGTTCTTGCTGACACAACCTAGACTCCCCTCGTTGTGCAGCCAGCAGTGAACTTCCAAAACGACATGAACCAAGAAGGATACAGACCAATTCAATATTGGGGAGCTATGCCCAAGAAACTTGGTAATTTCCCAAAATAAGGGGACCCAATATGGAGCCCAAAATACATCAAAATATTATAATCCTGATCATGGGGACCTCCAAAAGGGTACCCCTAATTTTGGGAAACCCCCAATTATACCTCGATGAAGTCCAGAAGAGCCCGGACGTTCAGGGCACTTCTCCAAGAGCTCGGAGTCAATCGCCTCTGGTATCGTCATCAGAACTACCAGTGCTGTTAGTAGTACACCTTGAATTGCGGCTAATCATTCTAATCATTCATGCAGATTAAGGAAATATGTAGTAGCACTATATAGTCCCTATAATCCCTGTAGTTCCGTGTTCTTTTCCATTAATCCCTATGTAAACACATTAGCCCAAGCTCCTGACTGAAAAGCCCTAGCTTAGAGTGCAATTTCTGGGCCAGATTGAGGGTCAACGTCTAGTTAAACAGTAGGAACCGGTGTGTGTGTGTGTGTGTGTGTGTGTGGATGGTTAAGAGCCGACTATAGGGTTTAGGGTTAGGGTTTAGGAGACTTACACAAAAAATGCAACCGCAAACAAAACGAAGGGTTTTCCTAATCAGGAGCTCTCTTGAAAAGATGAAGGTTTATTTCAAGATCTTGATACTGTAAAAGCTACAAGTCTTAAATAATGGGAAGGTGTTGCATAATGAGGAACTCAGATATAGACAGGAGTTTAGCTTTAAGAAGACTCAACTCACATACTTGGCTGCGCTTAAAATGACAATTGGGCAGCTAGTTCTGGGACCTGATCTGCTGATGACGAATCAGTAGGAACTTGATTCTTGAAGATTACTTCCTGAGCTATCCCTTATGGACCTGGTCTGAGTGGGCTAAGCCAAGGCTTGCCGGGTCTTTTTCAAGCGACCTTAGGCCTGAGCAAACTTGGAGTCATCCTCCGCTGGGCGGGGCCTGGGGCTTAGGGTTTCTTTAGGGTGTAATGGGGCTTAAGTTTTAGGGTTTATGGGGGTTAGGCTCTTACAGGTTTAAGCCTTAGGGAGGAGCTTGAATAATTACCAATGTCATTTTGAAGTCGATGTGTGGTACCCTACACTATTCACTATACAAGGAATCTGGGAGCACCATGTTGGTAGCTTTTAAATCCTGACAGTACACATCAAACGGAGACGGCGGCCTTCTCAGCAGCTCAGCTTTCGCCGCATGATGGCAAGGTTCAAAGTTTTGCACTGCTCCTCATTGATGTACAATTGTCTGCAGCTGGCTCAAGCGGCATCCTTTTCCAAGTGGAGCCACTTGATTTTGAGGTGGGAGCGGTTGCCGTTAATGCATGCGCATGGTGGAAAATGGATAAACTGGCGTGGTATTCTCGGAGCCCCGCCTTCGCATAGCACATCTTAACAGGGGTCATTTGTCTCCACCACGTTCAGCTTTACCTTCGCATGGCCCGAGCCCTCGTCCTTGGCATGGGCTCAGCGGCCTTGATCAGCAGTCCCCGCAGGCCTTTGGTGTGATGCGGCCTGTCAACTTGGCAGTGTGCAATCGTCTAGTTCCTCAACACGGCTGCCAAAGTAAAGGCCGACGTGCGCTCGCCACTTGCTACTTCCTGGATGTCACGCAGGCGGCTGTCAGAATTCACTCGGAAGACCGCGAATCTGCTTTCTGTCAAACAAGGCTCCATGCACGAGTTGACCTTTTCTGTATGGCAGTTTCGAGTTACAAGAAAGGGTTGCCTCAGTCCGTTTATCTCTGAAGTTCATCTCGAACCTGTAATTCAGAAAAAGCGCTACCATTAATGAGATGCCTCCTGCGGCCGCATACAAGCGAGGAGTCAGCTTGACTTTGTCGACCTCTGCCAGGCGAACGCCCTTTCGAAAACACATCCTGGTCAGCTGCCCTGATCCACGCCTGATACGACCTGCACAAAAAAGGAAGTTCGGGTTAATGTGGCTATGGTGCCAAGCCATACTTGTATCTTCGATTGTTTGCCAGGCTATATCATTAATACCGTGGTTCTCTTGCGAGAGTAGCTTATTCTAAGTTTCAAATCCTCAAAACGCCCCCTACAGAACGTTACATAGCCCCAGTTTCCACGTTGTTGTCCACGTTGTTCATTCAAGGTGGTTCTTTCCCGTTCTTTTCCATTCCCCATGGTAACTTGAACTAGGTTCCTCTTCAACTTAACCCTAAACCCTTAAACCCTAAGCAGCACATTCCTCGGGCACCCCCAGATAGGACAGACCCCCTAAGTAGGACACTTAGAAGGCATCGTCCCCTTAAGTAGATCGAATATGGGTATATGGGGATCCCATTATAATATACCCAAAGCCATGTTCCATCTACCATATCTACCCAAGGGGGAGTATACCCTAAACCCTTACCCCTAAACCCTATATTCTATTTACTTAAGGGGGACTAAACTGGGAAAGGAACCCAGAGGTTGCTTCGAGGGTCTGTACCATCGTGAGGCCCCTTGGGGATCTACTATGATATACTAGAACATACTATAATAGACCATGATGTACTATACTGTAACATACTATCATACACGATACACCACTATCATGGATCATAATATACCATCATAACCTATAATAAACTAGAATATACTAACATAAACCCTAAACCCTACACCCTAAACCCATAGCCTAATACCTGATTAAGAGCAACCCTAAAAAAAGAGGCCCAGCACCTGAGGAGTCAAGGCCCCCACTGCGGCACATCGGGGAAATCGATGGCACCAGCTACCAACCTTGAGCTCCCTCCCTCTCATGGTTTCAAAATGGGGAAGTCGTATATTATGGTCTATTCTAGTATATTATGGTTGATTATAATATATTATGGTCTATTATAGTATACTATAACCTATGGTAATGTGTTTCAAAATATTGTAGCATATCATCGTTTATTATATTACTGGTATACGCTAGCGCATTTTGAGGTATAGTATATTATGGTACCTCGTGGTATATTGTAATATGTTCAAGTATATGCTGAGGACTTCCTTGGGACCCGAGAAAATGTAAGGATTGTGCAAGGACCCCTTACTGAAAGGAGGCTCGGTGGATGAGATTATGTAACGCCCCTTCAGGTTCCCAACTGCCAATGGGCTTAGGGTTTTGGGGTGTAGGGGAATTCCGAAGGTATGTAGAATGATGGCCCTATGTTACCTACTTTTGGGGCTCAGGTTGCTTTAAGTCTAAGTCAGAAATCTGGCTTGCCATGCTGTTTCTGAATCTCTGCATGCATATAACGAACATAGCTCCATGATCCTCCAAAACCTTAAGCCCTAAACTAGACCCTGCTGCATCCTAGTGATTCCTATCAGATATCAAGGTAAGGAAGGAGACGCCGAAGACACCCCCCAAAAGAAAGCACCTTGCAGACGTCTGTGCTGAGACATGGCAACAATCGTGCACAACCTAAGCCGAAGCCCCCCAGCACTCTTTCTGAAAATCTAGAGCATCTTCCCATTTTATTTTCGCGGGGCAACAAACCACGAACATGGACCAGGATCAGCCTTAAAAATGTCAAACTCGGGATACCCCGGAGTTTCGGGGTTCCGGCCGACTAAGTGAGCGGCTTCAACCTGGTCATACAGCTCATCAAGGCTGAGGCTTATCCCGTTTGGGAGTCGCAACAACAGCACATGGCTCGTCCCGTTTGGGAGTCGCGGTGTGAGACGCAAGTGAAGGGGCCAGCCTCCCATTTGGGAGGGGCCCCTGTGAAACATGGGAAGCCCGCAGCTTCTTGGCCGGACGTGCTGCCTAAGTGTCGTTTTTTGAGATTCGGGTTCAGTACCAAGTTCAGGCTAAAAAATGCTTGGCGCGCAAGTAAAGCAAACTGATGCAGCAAGCTTCGTTCCACTAAAACTTTCCATACATGAAATCAAGCGTTACTAAAGCTTTGCAACACTTCACAAGAACCACATTGCAGCCGTGATTCCAACTCAGCCGGCGGCTGTGTTAGGCAGAATGGGGCTCCGGAAGGGCTGCGTTCGGCGATTTCGCAGAGCCCCCGTGGCCGAGAGTGCCTGCTGGCCACTCTGCCATCCTTACATAAATGGGCAAGCGATCTTGCGAAGCATAATTTCGTACACCACAACTAAAAATCCGCTTGGGAAAATTTTGCTAAACAAATCCCAAGAACATCGCCCCAGTTTTGCCTATGGCAGTCCAGACAGAAGCGCCACCACCGCTTCCCATTCATGTCACGGCACTTTGTCACCTCCTCCTGCCGTTGGTACAACATCACTTGCTGAGAACAGGTACTGTTCCTTATGTTCTTTTGATCAGGTTTTACGATTTCTTAACAATTCTGCGCTGGGAAAATCTTCGGAAGTAAACTGAATGAATTCCCAGAACTGTTTGAAATTGCACAAAAGTCCTCCCATGCCGTGCGCAGCTTAGGGCTCCGCATCTCTGTCAGAGCTGCACCACAGGTGCAGAGCGGGCCGCCACTGATGGTCATGGCCGAGAGCAAACACAGATCTGATGCGGTCGAAGATGTCGCCCATCCACCGAAATAACATGAAGGGTCCCTGTTGGGGAATATGAGGGAATACAGGATTTCTATGGCAGTTCAAAGACTATCGAACCCAAAACCCGCAACCCTATGCACGTTAAACCCTAAACCAAGAACCCTCAACCCTGAACCGAACATCCACAAGTTGGCGCCCCAAAACAGAACTCCACATAATATACTAGAAGGACACCCAAAATATACAACTGATTTTGGAATTTTTCCCTTTTTCTTCCCTAAACCCATATTCTACCCAACCCAAAACCCATTGGGATATAAACCTGGCCTTGTCAGAGGTGAAGGCAGCTCCTGAGCACAAGCAAGGAAGCATCTAAGGTTTAGGGTTTAGGACCCAAAATTCGATGCACAATGTGTGGTAAAGACATGGAGGGTTCCCAAAGTTCAGTGTGTGTTTTTTAGGCCTCCCCATAATCAGGATGATCGTGTTTTTGAGGTCTCTATGGGGTACCCTATTTAGGGACACTGCCTATGCAAGTTTATGTAAGATGCATACGTATGCTATGCACACCTCTCGTATTGTCCCTTACTCATGCCCCCTACGCTCAAAACCCTAATTAAACCCAAAACCTTAAACCCTAAGCCCTAACCCAAAACCCCACACCCAAACCCAAACCGCGTGGTCTGACCTATGGGTCCAACCCACCATCCCCTGACGGCAGCAACTGGCTTCCTTCGACGTTCCGCACAGGAATTGCTGCTTCCCAGCCAGGAAGTCACGGTCTAGACTAGAGGGGCGCTGACTGTCACAGCCCTAAACCCTAAACTACAGGGGTTTCCATTTTCTTTTCCATTGTCCTAATACAAAACCCTATAATTATGTAGGTGATCCTTGCAGGTTCCTGCGAAGAATCTCCACACCTCCAGACTGCAATGCTGTCTCTGCCGCGCCTCTGGCAAAGGTGCTCCGGCCCGGCGCCTGAAACAATAGACTGACAAATTGTGTTATACTATATTGCTATTATATCCTAAATTTGACCATCTTATGTTACATTGTACTATTCACCGCACTATATGACACAATTTCAGTAACCAGAGCTGGTTTCAAGTTCAGCTGTGACAGGAGTAGCCGCATGAGAAATCATAAAAGGGTAATCCAGCACCCCTAAACCCTTTAAACTCTAAACCCTGAACCAACAACCCTAACTCTACGACCTCCTACTTCCCTAGTTTGGCGTACACCCCAGAAAAAAGTATAGACATTTTAAGTACAAATTATTATAAAGACCCAGGAACCAAAAAAGTGCTAAAGTGTAGTACTCCAATATTGGGACTTGGCTATCCAGCCTCACCGTGAGGTGCATGGCACAGGCAAACTCGCACAGAGCCAGCTGGCCATCACCATCTACCTGAGTCGCGTTGTTGTGGGTGGTTGAACCAGACAGGACCATGTCCTTCTTCAACATTCCTATAGCCAAAAAGAGGATGTAGTCTTTTTACTCTATATGTGGCGGAGTATAGCGACTGTAGAATACCCATTAAGAATACTACCAAAGCAGGGAGTCTTGCGGTATATCCGTCATTCTTACAGCTGTGGTCCCCTCACAAACCACCAGATGTTGCAGTCAGCTCCTTCCTAGGCAACAGGCAACATAGGATCCTGCAAAATCGCAGCTCCTACGTAGTCACGATTTGCAACCTCATCTTGCTTCAACTTCCGAACTTTGTTAGTGTCAGCTTGCTTCTCGACAAAGGGTATGCATAGCTCATTTGGACCTCCCTTAAACGGTCGGTTCGACTTGTCAAATTATGGAGGAAATTGAGATCCCGTAGATACCCGAAGACGAGGATGCAAGGGAACCTCCAAAAGGAACCCAAAGAAATTGTACCTTCCCCAAATAAACCTGTAGTATGCACCCTAATATTCCATACACCTTACTTCGGAACCCCAGAAAAGGTATTCCTAATTTTTGGAAAACCCAATCCCCATATAATCCACTACCCAATCCCAGTTTCCAATTCATGTTCATTCTCATGTTACATGATTATCCATGTTGGGGGTAACATCCCTACATAACATGTGTAAGCCCCTTGAACAATCATATAGTTGCTTCGTGTTCATGTCATTGTCCGTCTGATCTTCCATTGGACTCTCCATTATACACTTCTTGTCACAGCTCTTGCCTGGCAAGTAAAACCCTAAAGACTAAACCTCTAAACCCTAAACACCCCAAAACCCTAAACCCCCAAAAGCCTACGACGCTAAAATCCCAAACCCAAAACCACAACATGCTATGGTGGGGCGACGGCATCAGCAAGGTACCAAATGGCTGCCAGCTCCGTCAACGGCACGCCACTCCGCTCCAATACCTCCAGCGAACCAGGGCTTGCCTTTTGCGGCCCCCTTGGGGATATATAGGGGATATATAAGGGTCGTATTAGGAATATATTGGCATAATGGAAAAGAGAATGGAAACTACTAGTTAGGGTATAGGGTTTAGGGGATGAGTCATGAAGGACAGCTCTTATTGGCGCGCGACCTTCAAGTCCGGCTAAGCTTGGGCTGCGGTTAGCAGTCTGATGTAGGCGATGATGAGGATGATGTTGTACTTGCTACTTCGTGTACGTACTCCTGCTACTTTACTGGTAGCAGCTAAGAACTACCAGCAAGTAATCAGCGGAAGGGGACAGAGACGAGGAAGAAGAAAAAAAAGAAGAGGAGCAACATATCGGGAGCTGCGCAGCTTGATAACGAAACAGCCTTGATTCTCAAGAACGGCTCCTCTGTGAAAATGCCCAGGAGTATATCGAAACAGCTACAACACAAAGTCGGCACATTACGTTCAAGAAACGCTGGCCATGTGTGCAGCAGAATCCGTTCGACCCTGCACTCTGATACAGGACCATTGGGGTCGTGCAAGGCCAAAGGGTCTCAGGAACCCGGAGAAGGCTAGTGCCTCACAAGGTAGGGTGGACTCTTAAGAGGCCTTGGGATAAAAGCCGAAATATGTTATAAAAATTCGGGAGGGCAAAGACTAGGCGCCGTTTGGAAACTTAGCAAGTGAAATGCCTGGAGGGCCAAGGGATCAGGCACTTGCACGACATGGAAGCCTTATACGGTCTCTAGGATTTCTGGGGTGTATAATACTACAGTTGTAGAATTGGCTGGAGTGATAGAACTCCCCCCAACAAAATTCTCCTACGCTACCCTGCTCACTGTTCAGCATCGTAGGCTCCAGGTCTTGCAGGCCTTTTTGGCTTCCTGCGCGTCCAGGAGGCCATCCGAGTCACCCACAAGGCCTCTCTGGGGGCTTTTTCAGCATAAGATCCTACAGTGGATAACAAAACTGCAGCACGTGCCGGTTGATTTGCAGAGTGTAGTAACCCTAGATCCTGCACCAGCAAACCCCATGAAATCCCATGAAGCCCTCAGATCCGTCGTACAAACCTTACATTACACTCTGTCGGGATTTGTACGTTACAAACAAATGGTGGGAGCTCTGGCAGTGCCGGTGACAGCGGTGGCAGCGGTTTGGTGGCGGTGACAGCTTGGTGTCGGTGGCTGTAGCTGTGGCTGTGGCTGTGGCGGCGGCAAGTAGCAGTAACAGCGGTGGTAGCAGCAGCAACAGTAGCAGTGGCAGATGTTGCAGCAGTAGTTGCTCGCCAGCAGCAGCAGGATCAGCACAAGCAACAGTAGCAGAAGTTGTCGCAGTAGTAGAAGGGAGAAGAGGAACAGGAAGAGGCGCGGCAATAGTAATATCATCTACGTTAAATTTCTGCTCCGGGCGCCCAGCTCAGGAAGATCTGCTTGTACTCCCCAAGCTCCTCAGCAGAAGGCTCCCAGAGCTCGTTGCTGGGACCTGGCTCTAATAGTTCAAGCGGGAGAGCATCAAAAATGAGGGTAGGCTTGCACTGCATCTATCCAATATAGGGGTATCGCTCTTCCTGCTCGTGCTACTGCTGCTGCCGCCTTCTTCCTTTCCTGTACTTCTCTGTCTCCTTCGTCCTTGCATTGCAGCCAGTACTACGGCGAAAGTACCACTGCACTACCATTACCAGGACCCCATTAGCAATGTTTTTCCTTCGAAGCGTTCTTCATCATTTTCCGTCGATGGTTGTTACTTCACCTACTTGCGGTTAGCAGGGGGTTGAGGAATGGATCCCTATACCAGTCTGAGTTCCAAAAGTCCAGTCCTTCCTTTCCCCACTAACGTGGGGTAGGCTTGGAGGACTTATGAAATTTGCTTTTATGGCTTCATAACTTCATGAGGGTTATACTGGGGTTAAGGGTCATAGAAATTAAAAATATGTTCCAAACCTTCCCCACTAACTTGCCATAAGCAGGCCAGCATCGCCAGAGTCCTGGGCCACAACAGGTGCCAGCACTGCAGATGGGAGCGTTGCGGCAGGGGATGAGCTAGGCAGGTCCTCCTCGGTGGTGCAGTGGTGGTTTAGGGAATTTTTTGAAGCCAGAGGAAGTTTACATCTGCATGAATGCGCTGGCTTTGGTCAAAAGGCAGCTGAAAAGGCTTCAGGCTTAAGGTTTAGGGGGTTTAGGGGTTGCTGGCATGGGCCCTTGCCAAGGGGCTCTTATAGACCCATTATATACCGGGTTTAGGGTTTTGGATTGGGGTTTGGGGTTAACGAAGGAGGAACCTCGGAGAGGTGGAAGGTTTATAGGACACCGGACTATTTTACACTTACACAGAACTAAATCCTTGTGTAAGCATGCCAAAAAGGACCCTAGACCTGAAGCTACATGCATTTTGTCATTTTGACATACTTCCTTTTGGTTGTGCTAGAACAACAAACCAACAAATGATTTCCTAAGGAAATCGGAACTACATCCCCGTAAACCCTAAACCCTACAAACCCTAAACCCCTAAACCCTAAACCCACTTAAAAAGGGATCCCCCCTAATGATGAGGAGCGTACCATGGCCACAGACAGAAGCTCCGAGGGCAGTGAGTAGGGCAAGGCGGCCCCCTGTCGGCGCCTCTTGGGAACCATTCGCTTCAGGGTTTAGGACGCGGTTTAGAAGGGTTTAGGTTTAAGCGCCATTTTCCTCCTGTACAAAAACCGACGTCCGTCGGCCGAAACGTATCTCTTGAGGTTTTGGGTTTGGGGTTGAAGGTGTAGGGTTTGGGGTTTAGGGTTTGGGGAAGTTAGGGTTTTGGGGATACATGGGAGCTGTAGGGATATATAGGGATCTCTACATGTATACATTTGGGGGATCCCTTTTCAAGTGGGTTTAGGATTTAGTGTTGAGGG